CAAATCAAAGCTCAGCTAGTACATTTAATCCTCTGAATAGTTGGTAAAATGAAGACAACAGTTGCTTTGAATCTGTCATGTCAAGGCCTATTTTTCTGAATAATACTTGACAGATCCTTAGTTAGAAGATAATAGATTCAAGCACTTTATAGCTGTAAACCAGGTCAGTGTGGTTATGCACACACTCTCCTTTCCTGTGAGAATTTCTGTGTAGAACACAGTTGGTGCTGAAAAAATGTCCATTGAATAGGTGAATAAATAAATAAAATGCAAAGTTGTTCTGTTCAAAATAAGGAAACCTTTTTCTTATCTACCTGTATTTTCAATGGCTCCTTGAGTGTGCATGAGAATACCACACTTAAATATTCAAAATACATTAGTCTTTATAAAGATGGACTTTTTGAAAAAAGACTTGAAAAATATACTCACAGTTTAAAAACAAAATCTATGTGATTATGCAATATGTTGCAAATCATTCCTTCTCATTTTCATCCAGTTTCTACCATTTTTAACAACGGTAGCTACTATTATTGAATTTGTGTCCTTACATAGATTTTTAAAATATATATAACTTAATGTGAATATATATTTCCCCTTCCCATTATGAAAATAGTGGTATAGGGAGCATCCTGTTCTTCAAGGTAATTTTTCCCTATATTGCAGATATTTCTGTTAGCTCAGGAAGTGACTGGCTGGCCATAGTATATAGTGGGATGATCCCTAAGTTGCACATTAATTTTTTGTACAGAATAAAGACATGCCTTTAAAATTTCCTCATTATTAAACTTCAAATTTAAAAGAAACTCTGCTGATTCCTGATAAAAATATTAATCCTTCTTGTATAGAAATAATTTTTAGTAATGAAATTATAAATATAAAATTGTGACTCTTGTTTCAGCCTGGTAGATTTTTGACAGTAAACTTAAATATTCCTGGTTCATTTTACATGTGAATTTGTATTCAGCTATACACTGAATAATTGTTTAATTTTTTGTTTATAGGAAGTAGTTAATACTAACAAATCTAACCAACCATCTATTTAATAATTTGTCATCAATAGGATATGTCGCTGCATTGCTTTTTTTTCCCCTCAGGTAGTCGTAGATTTGTACTTACAGGCTTACATTTGACTTTCTATGAAAACTCATGAAGTTCATTTATTCAACAAGTATTTATTGATTAAGCACTTATATTTGCTGGGAGGGGTGCAAGGGATGTACAAGATGATTTCTGTCTTCCAGAAGCTCAGAGGCAAGGGGCAGATATGAGACATAAGAAACCTGTAGACTGTTTAAGTGCAACAGATAATGCATCTGCCAGCATATATGAGCTTTTTTCCATTCCCATTGCCACCTTAATCTGACTGCATTTCACCTCATCTAGACTGCTGAGCAGACTCCTTATGAGGCCCGCTAGGTTTCACAATCCCTCACTCCTAGCCACTGAACACACTGAGTTGCCATGTAAGATAACAGCTCCGGTAGTTTCACTATCCTGATAAAAATGAAATAAAAATAAACCCCTATGGGGTTATTTTATTAAAGGTCCTATTGATTGTAGTTTAAATTTGATATTCTACTTTGGGTCCCCACTGGTGCCCCCTTCATCTCATACTACCACACCTAAGTCTACTTTTTCCCCTTGAGAACATTATAGTCTTGATTTCTTTAATTTTCCTCATGTGGTTTTCTCTTCACAGAATATCCATCTCTTTTTTTCAGATTCCTATCATTACTCAAAAGTTATTTTAAATGCTATTTTCATAAGAGATACAATCTGTACCAAAAGTGTGTGTGTGTGTGTGTGTGTGTGTGTAGAAAAGACCACATTTGTGGCAGTTATCAGGAAAAGATTATATAGTATTATTTATACGTTGGCAAATAATTTGTTCCTTGTTTCTTCCATTAGACTAAAGTACTTGACAATAACTTGCATTTTACTAGTCTTTATTTCCGCTTTAGGACAAAGTATAAACTTTTACATAGAAGGTCCTTAGTGAATATTTATGTCATCAGCTTGAATTTACTTAAATCAAACGCTGTAGAAAAGCAATCAATTTCATTCAATGAACTGGCATAAGATTTTCTGAATAAAGCTGTGGACAGGCCATTGGACATATGGGAAAAAAGTGTGAGAGAGAGTCCATGATGACTTGTTGAAATAAGAAACATAAAATAATTAAAAATGACAATCACAAAAATAGTAGCACCTTGATTCCCAAAGAGTTCTATTTCCAATACTTGTAAGATATCAATTGGGCTGAAGAAGGAAAAAGAGGTCTATGGCATTTACATAAGTACGAGTGTGAGGCAGGACTTAATGATATGGAAGAGATTCATTAAATATTAAAAATGTATCAAATATTTCTTTCCAAGTTGATAACAAATGTTTTCTTTCTGACTAAATTTTGGATTATTTAAATTGGAGATCTGCAGTTACATAAAGGCACTCTTAAAAACTCATATATGATTATTTCAATAAGAACCTTAAATTAGAAGAATGGCTTTTTTAAGATCTATGCTAACTAGGTAGTTATTTATCTACACTTGTCATCAGTCTCTCTAAATATAAAGATGAATAATATTTTAATTCAAATATATACTTTATCTGTTACATAAATTGTTTTACATCTACGTCTGCCAGGTTGGATCACCTTGGCAAGTTTTTAAGGAGCTGGATGAGGGCATGTGACTACATTTATTCCTTAGTGTATGGCCAGTTAAAGAGAAATGTCATTTGACTAGAATGACTTAATAATATTTTTTGTTATCTGCCTACTTCTTTTTAGGTCCAGGATTCTGAGATAAAAATGCCTACAGGTGTGGTGTGCAGAATAAAGGCATACCCAAGGATGGGTCTGTGAATATGTTACCTACATGGCAAAAGGGACTTTGCAGATTCTGAACCTTGAGATGGGGAGATTATCCTAGATTAGTCACGTAGGTGCAGAATAAACCAAGGGATGCCTGTGGCCTCTAGAAGCAGGAAAAGAGAAGGAAATGGGTTTTCCCCATACCCTCTGGAAAGGACCAAGTTCTGTGAACACTTTAACCTTAGCTCCCTAAAGTCCCATGTTGGACTTCTAACACACAGAACTGCATGATAAATTTGTGTTGCATTAAGACACCAAATTTGTGGTCATCTTTACAGCACAAATAGAATACAGCAGGCATATGGGAGAGTTGAAAATAAAATTGAAGAATTTATTAACATTTACCAAAAAAACAAATATGTTCAATTAGCAATCAGAAACTGAAGTTTCCACAAGGAATTCCTCCTAAAAAAAAAAAGTTTAGAACACAAAAACTTACAAGTCTAAAGAAAAAAATCCACTGTCAGTGTCTTAGAAAATTAGACTAATTTTTAGAGTTCATTTGGACATTACTTACCTCTAAATAATTAATCAAAGCATGCTTCCAAACAATGTTTTACCTCCCTAGTACTTCGAGCATGCCAAACACATAACAGGAACTCAGCAAATACTTGTTGAATGAATAAAAGAAGGACTAATATAAGACTGGGGAAATTGAGAGAAGTACCTAATGAGTTAGTTTCTACATTTATAGAATTCTAGAAGGTACCATGTTTTTATGAGAATAAAAATCACTGCCTACCATTTTACTCTCTGTTGGTATGTAAGTAATAAGGTAAAAAACAATATGAAATCAAAAGAGCCCCAATGTACTTTTGAAATATGTCAGATTCTAAATTTTTTTTTGTTCTATAGTAGATGTCACAATGGAGACAATGAAATAAAAACCAGCGACTGAAAATATTATGATGATACAATGCAGGAAACTTGCAGTATAAATTTTTCAGTTAGTTTATCTATATAATTTGTAGTCAAAATATCGTGACCCTAAATACTGATTGTAATTAGTAAAACATTGATAGGGGGAGAAATATAGAAGGAGCTATTTTGAATTAAGAAATAATTTTCTTATTTTAGAAATAATCCCTTCTCTCTATTCAAAATATCTACATTTTGAGCCTATAAATTTTGGTTAAACTTAGACAAAGGGTGGTTCATACATAAAGACAACCTGGTGGTAAAAAACAAATGCCTCCATTAAAAAACCAACACATCAAAACAATTTAGCAATCTAAGCTAAGGGACCAGTTCTCTAATTCCATTTTTATAATTCTATCCTGGACAAATGGCCTCAAAGCACCCCCAAAACAAACCAGACTTACGTAAAAAAGAACACAACAATTTTTAGTATAACAAAATTTATGCCTAATGCAAACATCCAACAGTAAGAGAATGGTTAGGTAAATGGATCACATGTTTAAATTTCATGCAGTAAAACAAATAGAGCACGAAAGAAAATCAGTGTGAAAATTATTAAACTTAGTTTGATCTTAATATTTTTGAAGCATGCATATAAACATCAGAAAGCAATATGCAAAGATATAGAGTATTTTCATTTTATGTTGTTTTTTACTGTTTTCCAAACTTCCAAAACTGCAGTTGTTATTTTATAGTGAGTAAAAGTATTTCGTAATGAAAAAGTCCTAATGTCAACAGTCACTCTTGATCACTCAGCTTTTCAAATATTGTAATTATGTCTATTCCATGAGAGCTTCTGAAGGAATGGGCTGTTTTAGACCAAACCAAGAACTTTTCCCAATAGCATCCAAGTATATTTTAGGTTTGATCTGAGGAACAAAATCATCTTAAATAATGAAATTCAGTATTAACTATGAGGAAATAGAGTGTGGCAGTAAGTTACAAATAAACATTATACAAAAGAAAAGACCTACTATTTTGGGCAAATGACAAGAGCTGGTTTTTTTATTTACACAGTCACAACTGTTACTTATATAGTGGCAGGTGCCTGAATTAGGATTAGCTATGTAATCAAATCCTACCATTGTAGGTTTATAGTACATAAATTCCACAACTTTGTAAACTTACTCTAACAAACTGGATAATAATAGTTTTATATACCACTGCAGGTCAAATAAGAAGCAATGTACTGGGTGGAACTCTTACTTACTGTGGTAGCACAGTGAATATCTTTCCATACTGTGGCTTCCCTGGAGAGATCAGAGACTTCAAATAGATTATCGAGAATCACTTCCCCAATCATGTCATGTCTAGAAAATCTGTCAAAATCATAAACACTGAAATGTAGTTTTCTGTTGCTTAGTTGATCATATGCTACAGGAAATTGAAATGTTTCATCAAACACAGGATTTAAAGTCTTTCTGTGCACGCGGGTCTGGAACTTCTTTTTCCTATCTGGAAGAAGATACATCTTCACGTAAGGGTCAGAAGTTCCTGTGAAGTCTTTAGCAGGGAGGTCTAAGGCTTTGATCATTTTCACAACGAGGAGTTCATTTTCATAATCATACTGGAGGGTAAAGTTAAGTTTCCCACAGGTTTTGACATCTTCTTTCATGTTGCCGTCAGAGTCAACGGATCTCTGTTTGTAGAGCTCTGGCTTTATCCTCCCAATGCTGGTGGTGGTTTCTCCTCTTTGTAAAACAGGTTCTGTGCCCATGCTAAAATCAACACTGGAAACCTGCATTTGCCTTGGTAGGTGTCTTCGGAAGGAATTGTGGCTGTACACATATACATACACACAAAATCATTTAGGTCGATCATTTTGATGATGACATTTGATGATGACATATGATGATGACATGTAAATTCTCTCCCACCCCCAGAATAATGAAAGCATTCTATATGAAGCATTAGATTTCACACACACACACACACACACACACACACACACACACACACACACACACACACTCACACAAAGAACTACTTTTGAAAAACCAGATTTCAAAGGAAAAGTCTCCTAAAGTTTAGAAGTATCTGAAATGTACATTTTTATGAGCTCTTGAGATTTTGCTCTCTCAATCGTAAATACATCATTAAACACCATTATAAAGAAACATGATTACTAAAAAAGTTAATGTTCCACAAAATAACATTAATCATCAAGCCTCTGAGTATATCTAGATGTCGGCGACATGCAGACCAATCCGATTCTCAGGTGGCTGACTCTTTTCAACCGGATATTTGAGTCTTGTGAGTTTCCTGTCTTCGTGAAATGTGTATTAAAGTAAAAAATGTAAGTCCACCTATTCCTATACCGTGTTGATTATTTCTACTACTTCAGATAACTAAATGAATGCTTATTTTTAAAAAGAATACATAGTTGTAACAGGCAAAATGAGTACATTTTCCTTTAGCATGGAGCGGGATCCAGAAATTCTGAGAATTACAAAAACACAGGATTTTAGAATTTGGGGCCAACATAAGTTTTTAAAAACTCAGACTGACTTTCCTATAGTCACTATTACTATTGACCTAGACCACACTTCTCTCACATTAGCTATGTCAGCTTACACATCTCCCAGCCTACACCCTAGTCTTCTGGTCTTTTCTGTCTCTTCATCAGACTAATGAATCATCAGTTCTTGGACAAAATTATTATCTTGAATCTGATGGTCACCTAGCTACATCTCAGATACGCAAACTTCTAGTTTTGTCTCTCCAAGAGAGATTTTTAAATGAAAGTCCTAATTTGCCCCAAACTTAAGCAAATTCATTTTCTGCCTTTTGCTCTCAAACCAGCCCTCTTTTCCCCCACCCCTGACAATAGCTCTAACAATTTTATCAGTCACTCAGAAATTTACTGGGATTTACTCAGTTTTATAAATCCTGTTGATGTTTGCTTTGAAATATCCCATAATTGTCTGTTCTGTTCCACTTCCACAGCTACTCAGTCCAGATCCTTATCACCCTCTACTTTGCTTTCCACAGTAGCTTTCATTTGCTTTTCTTTCTTTCAGCTCTTACCTTAGTATCTATCTAGCACTTACTTAAAAATCCTTTACTCACTTTTGTTATCACTATGTCAGCTCTACATCTTTGATAGCGCTAATACTTAGGACATTGGTTAATATTTGGTTCACTGATACACACACAAGGACTGGTTTAAGAAAGATAGAAAATTAATGACTCTCCAAAAATAAGATACCTAGTCATGATACCATTTGAGAATCAGTGGAGCTGAGGATATTGATCCTAGAAAGGAGAGGAAGAAGCCAGGAGCAAGGAGCAAAGACGGGATTCATGCCAGCTGTCTTTTCCTATCTGAAGGGTCGCCATGACAGAAGTGATGGGAATTTATGGAAATTACAGGTGCAGATATTCTTCAGCTTACTGTAAGGGAATATTAAAAAGCACCTACAGCTGCCCCAAATGGTGAAATGATGAACTTCTCCAAATAGGAAGTGTAGACACACAGGTTGGATGGAGAAAAAGAGCATTTCTGCCTCAGGGGAAATGCTAGACTTCTAGGCATATTCTAACACCCATTTTCTATGACCTTCTGTCTTTGGTTCTTTGATCATTTTATGAGTCAAGCTATCATTAATATATGCATTAATAAAGTAGAATTTTATCATATAAATTACATTATGTTACAAATTATATAAAATCAGTATTACAATGCGAAGTGTCCCAAAGTCACTCTGACATTTAATTAGCTATTTTCTGTAACTGTATTGAAATACTTTAAAAAATATATTTTAAACAATTAAAGTGTTTTAAAGTAATTATTTAAACCATAAAAATTGTATGGAGCTGTACTGAAATGAACTTAGCCTCTGCATAGTACCCTTTTACACAAATAAGGAAGATAAACCCAAATGAGCTGTAGAAGTATCAGCGGCTCTTTGCCTGTTACCGTGTTATTTACTGACTTCTCAACAATTTTGTTAAAGGGATTATAGTTCAGCACATAGATTTCAAATTAAGATAAGGATTGAGGCCGGTAATGTGGGGCAACAGGGCCGCAGGGTGAGAGTACTCTGCAGCAGTTTTCAATGATCTCTTTCTCTGCATTCAGCTTAGCCTCACTACCTAAAGAGAGGCCCCTGGTGGGTTGTCACAGAGATTATATGGAAGAAGGGAAAAGGCTTAAGGGAAAATGATCTTCCAGGATCAGATGAGTGCTAGAGAATAGCAAGAATTAGAATGGGAAAAAAATAATATTCAATGAGAATTTGGGATGAAAGAAAAGGAGAAAATAAAAGGAAAAAACATATACACTGTAAAACTTTCACAATAAAAAAGTCAAGTGGGACCTTGCACTTCAGATTTTGCTAGTAAAGGCTAATGTGCTGAGTGTTTGACTTGTGGCAGGTACAGTTATAAATTCTTTATCGACTCACTTGATCACCCATGTCCCCTAGGAGATATTTACTGGTAGGTTCCCCATTTTTTACCAAGGAGGAGGACACTAACGCACAAGAGGGAAATAACATTTAAAGTCATGGCTAGGCAGGTACTAACACAGAAACTGGACCAACCTGCCCGAGGCAGTCCGGGTCTAGTGGCCACACCCTGAATCACCTTGCTATGCTGTCCCCATGGTGGTTCTTCATTTGATTAAATTAGTCCAAAAGTGAATCACTCTAAGTAATGATCTAAAATAGTAAAAATTATTTACATCTGCTTTCATATCAGTTTTTCCACTTAACCATCATAGAAAACAAAACTTAAGAAATCCAGAAAGATCCGAAGTTTACTTGGATGAAATAGCTCAAGATATGTTTTTAGATATATTTTTTAACTTCTGTGTCTAGTTGTCACAAATTGAAAGGGAGTAAAGATGTTTAATTTGAGTAAAATTATGATCACATGTGTGCAAAATTCTTATCAAGTCTATGGTTTTAATTTGATAAGAAATAACATGTTGTGAAAATACTAAGTAGTAAAGTGAATTCTGTAAAGCAATTTATGCTATATTATATATGTAAATGATTAAGCTAAAATTTGATCACAACAATTTTAAACATAGGAGGGCTTCTTTATCTCAGATGAGGGAATTAACTAATTAAGACTGTACTGAATTTAAGATCCAATGTTTTAGTTTCTGTATCTAAGTGAATATATATAATACATATAAATTATAGATATAATATATATATAAAAGTCTTTACTAACTTAAAGCATGAAGTGATGTTTCCTCAGAGTGATCCCATTTTAATGCACTGAGAATGTTAGGACATTTGTTTTGACCCTGAATCTATCTCAGATATACAGGACCAGGGAACCATCAGAGAGCATATGAAGTAAGAATTAAAGAAGGAATACAGGTAGTATATATAAGTTGTTAATTATTAAAAGGTCTAGTATAAGTCATTGTATATATTCAACTTTCCTGAGACATTTAGAATATTTTATTAAATAACTTTCCTGCCAAATCACTTTCACTTACACAATTAAAAAAATTTTTTCTAAGTAAAACTACCCAAGAAATGAATTTCCTTATTTTTTATAGACGGATCTCATTATTTCACACTCACTTCTTTTTCAATGTGATAATATTTTAATCTTTTTATCTTCTCTCTAAAAATCAGTAATTTCTTTCTTATGCCTCAGAATATAATTGTGCAGCTGTAAAGCCCCTTCTAACAGGAATCAAAGAGTAGTAATGTTTTGTTCTAGTAAGCTAGTGCCCTAATTATAGGGTAAATAGTGTATATTCTAAGTCACAGTTTATCTAGTCAGTTGAGAGAAGCTTTAATTATTACAATGTTAAAACTGTTGTCATGACAGAACAGATCTTTTTCTTCTTGCTTTTTTTTCCCTCCTTTGGAATGACAATGGTAAGTGGATATTTTGTCTCACACAAATATCCAACCAAAGTACAGGCCACTTGACTAATACTGATCCCATTCTTACCCTTCAAGCCTGGGAGGGCACCACTCAAGTTCTCTTCCAGTTGGAGAAGGAAGACCTATCCTCACCTTCAGGGGAACATCTGAGAGTAACTAGATATAGTCAGTATCACTTGACAAGAATAAAATGTACTAACATGGTGACTTTTCAAAATCAGAGCCCGGAAGTTGAATGTACAGGCAGAGCTGCCCTGGTTAATGCGTGGATAGAGTCCTAGAATCTCCCCGGAAACCAGGCCAGCATTTCCACACTACCCAGAAGACAGAGCGGGCAGACCATCACTTTGAGATGAGGTGGGAAAGTGCTGGGTTGGAATCAGATTGCAGGTGGCGCCCAGCTTCCCTGCATAGTGAAAGCACCTTGGGGTAAGTTGCTTAACGTGTTTGAGCTTCACTTTCCTCATCTGTAAAAACAGGTCTTTCAGAGTTATGAAGCCCAAATGAGGTATTACAGAGAAGGTGACGTGGAAAACTATACTCTTTCACACTGATATCAGTTATTATCTTTGGAATTCAGGATGCAAGGAGCTGCGGTGCAAATGCCATAGGGGACTCTAGTTCTGGCAATGTTAAATCTAGGTTTGCTGTTTGGAGATGCCCGGATGGCACAGCCATTCCTGTGGGCATATCCTGGACCACCGCCCTGAACAACACAGACCCTTTGACCAAGTCACTTCTCAGCACCCAGCACTTCTCTTTTCCTTAAGTAGGAAAGCTACATCCTCCTGTTCTTTGCAGAATATTTGCAGAATTCTTATTGTGTCTTTACCATTGATTAAGTCTACCTTAGATATTGCTTGGGAAATCAGAGGGAGCAAAGTAAAAATATATTTAGCAGCATTTTATTGATTTATTCAATA